TCTGATTTCCACCTGTGGAGGGATTTAAGTTGGCCACTGGCATTATACAGTCTCAACTCTCTACAGACCTATGTTCTTACAGGTGCAGAAAGCCTAAGGAGGTAAAAATTCACCTCGTGAGATGAAGTGATTTTCGTGTAAACATTTTATAGAACACTTCACATACAAGTACATTAGATTGAATATTACACTTATACTACGTAGGATACAATGTTCGAAACAATAAGCCAGCAAATGAAGGCAACATATTTGTTTTGAATACAGGGTTGGTAAGTCACTAACCTGAATGATAGAACATTTATCCATCAATGAACCAGTACCACCTACATTAGGTGCAACTTTGAAATATTGTTCAAGTGGTAGTAAATAGCCTGTTTAATGTCCTGTAGCACAAACCCCATACGCCTTCTCATGATAACACTTCAAACTGTCTTGTTCTTCACAGTACGGTTCCACGCTCTTTCTCCTGAAATGCAATAGAAATGATCGCTGAGTAAAACGCGCTAGAACTATAATCTTCGAATGTTTGTAACAAAATAATGAGTTCAGTAGCAATAATGAAATTATTGCCTTAATAATAATATTAATAACGATAACGATAACAACAGAGATATTGTCATTTTCGAAAGCTGATAATATGGAATATGAATGAGAACTGAAGTTTTCTCTAGTTTCGCGAAACATTTTAGTAGATTGGTTGAATTTCTAGTGTACCATTTCCGTACTATGGTTGTATCTTCCAGAGTAAATTGATTTCAGCTCAGTATATTTTAATCATTTAAGTATGAATTTCATTCAAGATGACGGGTGTGTTGGGATAGCCAATCGAGAAGCCACCCACACACATGGTCGACTGATGAACTTATCGATTAAATGCATAAATATTTCAAGGGCAGTCGATCGATGAACTATTTGATCAATGTTCATGATGAACTCTATTTGATTAATGTTCAAATATTTTAACGACAATATCGATTATGTATATATAATTGTATAAATACGCATGTTTTATAATATATATTTTTGATTCTGTTAATAAGTGTTCTCCAACGTCTTCCGTCTTCTCATTTTTTGAACGGTGGGAGTCTAACGTTCGGTGTTGTCATTTGTACAGTGGTCTGGCGTTACTCAAGTAGAGAACTTTAAAGGGTGTGAATATGATCACAGTGACTTTTATGTTCTTAAATGATTCTGAATAAATCGAATTTGTGATTTAGAGTAACTCTATGTGCATTTTCTTCTGAATTTTTATTAATCGTGATATGGTTTGGGATGATCTGTTTTCGGGTAACAGTGTCGTTGTTGGTACTAAAGTGGGTACCATTTTACTCTTGCTTTGTTTTCCTCATGTATGCGTAACAGATTTCCATGACAAACACGCAACCCGAATTCTTCCCATAATACCATGATTCAGCAACTGAATAATTCACATCCCACCATGATAAATAATCAGTGACGCAAAGAAATACAATTATATGAACTCTTAAATAACTTAACAGTCTCAAGTGACAACAGTCAATTAGGAGAACTGTTTTACACTGCAATATCCTTACAAAAATAGGCTGTTTTGTATCAAGTTATAGTTTGTAGAGATTGTTGAATTTTCACGGCTTAAATAAAACTACCTAATCAATCATAGGTAGACCACAGAAGGAAATCAAGCAGTACTGGATAGATGTTTCGAATTTATTTGGAGTCATTCAGCTACTTTCGTAACTGAAACGATGACAAATGTACAATCTCCACAAATGCTCCTATAATGATACAAACCATTTAATCACTAGTGACTGTCCAAAAGTAAAGTAAATCGAAGTGTTCTAACGGTGCATATCTCGTCTATTGATAATGAGCAGAGTGGCATTTTCAGCTTTGCACACTATTTATCAGAAGTATTTCATAACTGTGATTTCAAAGCCTAGTCTTGACGTAAGTTGATTTAACGTTTTCATTATAAATATTCATGTATATTGGAGTAAAGCTTCACGACAACGTAATTGAAAACAATATTGTTCCTTTGTATGAGTGTTTTTAAGCATTGGCTTGAATAACCTAATTCATTTATATTAAACAATAAAACTTTTCACTTTTTGTCTAAAACTATAGTATATAACCAACCAATGATTATGAAAGAGTTAAATTCGAAACATCTAAATACTGCTGAATACTTCATTTTTCTTAGAATTTTGAAAATTTTAGTCAACCTACAGTATAAAAATATCTCAGTGAAAAACCTTCGCCGTTTAAAAATTCTTTTCAATACTCAAGAGACCAATGAAACTGCTGTACAACGATGTCTTCAACTCAACTTTGTATTGGGATATAATATTTTGGGCTAACTTTTCACAGTATGGCTCAATTATTTTTGTTCTAACATTTTAACTACTTAATTTTATTCAGTAATGCGAGTCAAGCAAAATAATTTATTGCAAAGATGGTCAAATGAATTACGATGATGAAAGGTCTACATGGAACCATAAAATAAAACTTTATAGCAAAGTAAATTAGTATTCATACTAATCAACACAAAAGCTTGATGGCTAAAACGACTACTAAATGACGGGTGTGGTGAACAAGTTCTCGATATCCGGATTCGCTTAAAATTTATTGAAACTTTCACTGCTCAACCAGCATAATGTAGTTAATTACAACGAAAGATGTTTAATTTAAGATTTTGTATTTGGTTTTACGTTATGGTGCCTATAAATGAAGTATAATTTCAATAACATACAGTTATTTTTTAAGAATTGTGTTTTATAAAGACTGCTATTTCTTTGTGATGCCAAATCTATTATGTGAGCTATTGGGGTTTACATTTCAGTGTATGTATTTTGCCGTTATGTCTGTCAACACATACTATT